GTTTTGGATTCAAAGTGTCATGTTTCACCACAGTAACATATAAGTTTATGAATAAGCTGTATTTTTAAGACATTTTTATTTTAGGAGATAAATCATAAGTGTGGTGTCACAATCGTCCACTTTGCTGAGCCATTGATGCAGACGACCTCCTCACTACAAGCACCAATATCCTGACAGCGCAGGCTCCTCTGTGCACCGTAAATCTTGTTCACACAGAAAGAAAAAGGAAAGTGAAGCGTAACAAAATAAACACTTGGCTCCACACGGACTTCCCTCATCCACAAACAGGTCTTTTACTTTGACAGTTTATCACAGTCAGCAAATAGCCTAACCCACAGAGACGACGTCCTGTCTACACGCCATCAATAACTTTTACACTTGTATTGATTTCTGCAGTTTTATTCCTGTTAACCTCTTGCTTTTAAGGTGGAATTACCACAACATGTTGGGCAATATAAATCTCAGGTTTCAGTTTTCTGATGTAGAGTTAGTTGTTTTTCAGAGTAAAACGTCTGAAATAAATACAGCTGAAAGTGTGTAATGGTCAAGTGTCTCTGGAAGTGATGAGCCCACAGAGAATGGTCATCACCTCTGCAGCTCTATGGAGCTTTTCAGTTGTGTTTTGTTGGCACATTTCCCATCTGCGTCAGTCTCAGCTATTTCCAGAGAAGCTGCTCTAAGCAGCCACCATCCACGACCTGCTCAGCGGCAAACAGCAGACAGAGCTGCTCAGAGACCAGCCGGGGAACACGGGGGAGCTGGTGGAGACCACACCCAGAGCTAACAGGGAGCACTTGGCTAAGGCTCATAAGACACAGACAGCACATGAAGGAGCATGTTGCTCACGTTGGCCCAAACTCATATGTGGAACTTACAGAGAGACAAAAACAGCACATGAAGCTGCTTTATCCAACCAAAAATAATAAGATCTTTAGTACTTTACCATGTGCACATGGGTTATATCCTTCATATAGTTGATGCACAGGTAGCTTCGTTTAACACCTGTGGACAATCCTGTACAGCATCTCAGGACAGAGAGTACATTACTGTCAGTGTACATTTAGCACATAGTGCAGTTGTGGTCTGTGTTTAGTGCCCATTCTATTAGTTGTTTCATTCTATTTATTTCTGTTTGTACTGAGATTTTATGGCCAGTGAAGGCAGAAGGCCAGCTCACAGGACACATCTGTTCTCAGCTTTAATACACCTGTTTATAATGACAGATTCAACACAGGATTTTTACTTGGTATTTTATTAGTAGGCCTTTTTTAAGCAAAGCGTCAGAGGACCTCGTCCGCCACTGTCAGAGCATCTGTGGTTCAAATCCTGCAGCAAAACATTTTCTCTTCACGATGGTAACCGGACAAAACAAGATAAATTCCCATGGAGCCCCCACCCCCATCAGACAAGCGAGTCAAATCACAGGAAGTCAGAGGACGAAGATGATTCATGCGTCACTATAACCACACACACACGCTGTTTTGGCTACAGTTGTGAGGACCCTCGCTCTAACCCTCTCACCACTAAATGTCTCCCCCGACCCTTCCCCTCATCCTAACCTGAACCCTGAAACCAGGTCGGAAACCCTCACATAGCCCTCTGAAGGTGTGAGGACCAGACAAATGTCCTCACAGTGCAGAAATGTCCTCACAAACACATGCAGACACACACTCTCTCAGCCCAAACCATAATTACAGGTTTCATATGTTCAGCGGTTTAAGTTTCACTGCAGCAGAATGTTAGAAACCCAACAGGGCCAGGACTGAGACCTGGAAACATGATTAAGTGCAGGACGGTGATCAGAACCAGAGCTGAAACCTGGACAAAAAAACTGGTCCAGGAAATTGACCACATTGAGGAAAAGGCAAAAAAAGAAGCAAAGAATGAGCAAAGCAGGTCCAAGAACAAAACAAAGACCAAGACCATTGAAGATCTGTCAGATTAAAGCCTGTAGTTTGTCTGTTTGTGGGTCGGTCACTGATCTGCAGAGTCGTTCCCAATTTCCCTCCAGCTGTTGTCATGGAGACACTCAGCTA